TAAAATTATTTTTCCTTTTTTTTCAGACATATAACCGATTGCATCACGCTCACAGTGAGCTGCAGGTTTATGAGGAAAAATGTACCGGATTGAAGCAACGACTTGACCTACTCAGGCAAATAAAGGTGGAGTTTCATTTCAGTTTTATCATCATCATCATCGTCCCGCCAATAGGTCGGGCGTCCGCCCACTACCGTATCCATTTTTGTCAACCGTACTCACCCCAGTGAGTAATCGTACCTATCCGGGACCATGCCACAAGTTTTCTTGGGTCTTCGTAGCGTGGAGTTTAGTGGACACAAACAAACAAACAAACAAACAAACAAAGAGACAGACAGACAGATAGACGCACCAAATTGCTGCTCTATATATAGGGAGAGTTATGTTAGAAAATTGTACTGTCGGAAGGCTCTGTTTTAGGAAGCTCCAATAATGTACGCTACCGCGGTCACAGAGAATGTTCGACGGAAGGTTTTTCAAAAAGAGTTCAATTCCTGGTATTCTATACATGTAGATAAGTGTACTGCACTGTACGATGAAGAATCAAAACTGAGAGCTCAGTTCTCTGCGAAAATGGAGAAGCATTTTTTACGTGTACTTTTCCATGGTGAGTTTTCAACGTTGAGGAACTCAGTGAAAGCTTGTGCTAGGAGCATCACACAATACACATTACTTCAGGTATGTTTGACACAATCCCCCTCTTCTTTGTTAAAAGTCTGTCCAAGTTCGATACAACTCTTGGTCCGATCGATGTCGAATATCTGAGGGAACTTCGCAAAGTTTGTTCCCGTTGATATCAATTTTTATTATTGAAGGTGAACCGATTATTACATAGTTCATGAAAATGTATATTTTATGCAGAATATCGAAGAACTGAAGCAATACCTGAATGTCTCAGTTCCACAAGTGTTTCTTCGCCTTGAAGTCAGGTCTGATATTCTTTTCGTAGTTGCGAGTAAACTTCTTCGTGCACCCTTAAAACATATTTATCAGCTCTTCGCAGAGACGCTAGCGGTAGCGATCGCCCTCTCGTGCTCAACATATTGCGCATGCATTTTTTAGATCCATTTGTAGCAAGCTCCTTATTAAAGGAAGCGATTACGATAAAGAAAGCGCATCGGGGAAGCATATGCACCACACGAAGCAGTTACTTGGCTGCCAAGGGAAGCGAGGTGTGGCGCTTCACGACGAAAGGTGCGCTGGTTGCTGAGCAGGACTTGAAAGCGCTCCGCCCCAAAAGCGATCCGCCCACTAGTTTAGTTGGTGATTTGGACGAGCTGCGTTGCCAGCAGCGGCACAACTGGAGCAACTCGACTGGAGCATGGATTGGCATGGTGCCACCAAACGCGTTGCGGTAAACTCGTCCATACGTCCGCCGTCTTAGTCGCTGCCCGCCTTTGCACGAATGTCAGCGGCCACGCAAGGGGGTCTCGTTTTGCGTCTTTTCAGCAAATTTCCCTGTTTCTGTAGCCATTGGGCATCCCCACATCCCCTCAAAACCTTTGAGAACCTATCGTTATCGCTACCTTTGAAGGCGGAGTTCACGCTGGGAAGTTAGCCTTTTGGAAATGAAGGTACAGGTCGATGATACAGGGACGAAGAAAAAACCAGAGAAACCGAAAACAGGGTCCCTCTCTTGCTCTTGCTACTCGCATTGATGTGATTCTCATCGATGCTGCCCTCTTCAACGCTAACCATCTCTCTGCTAAACGACCAGAGTCAGACGGCGAGAGAGTTGGCGTGCCTTGGCGCGGGGGGGGGCGCGGGTGTGGCCCCACTAGGCTGCCGGGGTATAATCTTCGCGTCGAAGCACGCATTGTCCTACATCCTAAGGGGGAGGGGGAGCACATCTGCTTTTCGATTAGATATACTTCCCTTTTTTCGACCTCCTCATCGTGAAAGCTCATTCAAAGGCGGAATCAACGATGAAATGGTCGCCCATTGGGTATGGTAGCAGAGGTGATCAAATTTGCTGTGCTGAAGAAAAAACCAAGAAAAATTGCCTAAAACTCGTGAAATCCGACCCTTTTTCTGCTCGTAGATTTTTGATTTGGACGAATCAGCGGTCAAAGCGAGCTCATTCGCACGTGTTCATCCTGATAGCCGGTATCATTACAGTAAACATCCTCTGATTGATAACACATTGTTCCGGAAAACTCAAAGATATAGTCGCTTGTGTTGACAGCTTCAAAAAATGATAAGTAAACGATGATGATAACTGCAGCATCAAATGCGCTTCTGCTACTATTACTCGGCTGCTGGGGCGAGCATCGTGCAGGTAGAGCCCTGCTAAGCCGCTGGGAACATACCGGGAACATCGCTGCATCCCCGAGTGGCCCGCCTGCGAAGGCGAGGCCTTCGGTCCCTTTACCTCACGCTCTACTTACTCTGCATCCCTGCTACCACACATTCGCTTCAGTACTGAACTCCGAATGAGCTATGTCGCTTGTACAGCGCAGGTACGCACAGAGTCAACCCTGCGTTGCGCAGTTCTCAACGGCCACGTTGCGCAGTTTCGCCCGATTAGACACGTTCTCTCGCGCGAACATTCACACTCGCATGCTCGAGCCGTCTGCGTCTCCGCCCATACAGCGTGCGTTGAGGATCTCTCAACGTGCCGTTGCGAACTGCGCAACGCAGGGTTGACTCTGGTACTACGACCAGCATCCGGAAGAAGAAGTTCCATTAGCAATTAGTCAACGGTTGGACGCTACATTTGCCTAGATATAACATAAGGTAGGGCGGACACGTGTGCGGTTTTGTGCAAAAGATTTCAAGACATGCAGAAAGCACTCGAAAAGTGAAGGTCTGCTCTTGTCAAGCTTCGAGAAGACGGCCATGTTTTTGTTTGAAATAAACTTCTTCAGAGTGACTCAGCGAATGCATTTGAAGGTGATTGTGCGCTCACCACATATACGGAACGGTTGAAAAATCTTGCCAGTATTGCCGAAACATTGTACCAAAACTGATAATAATTTTTAAGCGATTTTTTTAGTAGAACACCTATTTTTTTATTTCAGAGACCCACAGACACCGTCACCTGCTGTGTCTCAAGGTGGTATTCGTCGAGAAGAAAGTTTCGTTACAACTGGTGCTGCTTCCTCTCTGCCAGTGCTCTCATCAAACTTCCCGAGCACTAACTGGTTAAGGTAGACAAAGTATTTTGTATCTTAGTTTCTCACAATCATGTCCTGACCAGGGAAGGCATTCAACTTCCCATGGAACTTTGATTGAGACCCAGATATATCGATAGAGCTTCAAACGCTGATTACAAATATGGAAACTAAAACTGCAAAATGAACCTGCCAAGGAAGTTGTGAGCAGTCAAAGTTGGCTGGAAGTAAAGCATTACATATGAACCGTGCTAGCCTTCCGGGCTTTCAGAGTCGCCGTGGAGTAGTGGTAGTGCTCTCGCTCTCCAGCCCGGGAGGTCGTGCATTCTCTTCCCGTTGGAGTGCAACTTTCGAGAGCACTACCACTACTCCATGGCGACTTTGAATGCCGGACGGTACCACGGTTCATATGAAACGCTTTATTTCCAGCCAACTTTGACTGCTCACAACTTCCTTGGCAGGTTCATTTTGCAGTTTTAGTTTCCATATTTGTAATCAGCGTTTGAAGCTCTATCGAATATATGGGTCTCGATTCAAAGTTTCATGGGAAACTGAATGCCTTTCCTGGTGAGTTTTAATGGTTGAATTCGGCAAGCACTTGAATAATTGTTTGCAGCACTGATGACGTAAATGATGCTTCTCCTTCGACAACACCTTCTTTACTCATGACAAAATCTCCTCCTTCGCGATTTGGATCGTTATCGAGCTTCAACATGCCAATCGCACCTTCCCTTAATCAGCTGTCTATGCTTGTAAGTTCACAAATAATGTTTATTTGTTAAATCGAAGAATTTTTCCTCTCTATTTCAACGCTCGTTATATTCCAAAGCAGGCAGTGAAAAAAACCGCTTCTCAAGAATTTTAACACCTTGGAGCCCACGCAGCCCATATGTGGGCTGCAGTCCTCCGACCGCATAGGACCTTTCAGCTCGCATTTCGAAACAATTATTAGGTTTTTCATTCATTTTCTTTTCCATTTTATCCGATAAGATTTCTTCTGCATTATACAGTGGGTTCTTCTTTTGAATTTGCTAGATAAGATCCCTAAAAATTTCACCGAAGTCCCGCGCGGCCGCGGAACGTAAAACACGCGCGGTCTCCAAAGTGTTAAGAGGTTGTGCATCGACCATCGCCGATCATCGATCGAAGTCGGATTCAATTATTCCAAATCATTTCCTTTTCTCGGGAAATGCTTTAGTGATGGAATGCACCGAAATCAGAATGGGTCAAGGCAGTAGTAAAAATTTGCACATACGTACGTGCACATATGTAGATGACATGGGCACGACGCGCAAGCGTTTTACAGTCCCCACGCAGCCTGCTATTGACGATGTGAATGCGCGTCCACTGTGGTCAGTGCGTCAAGGAAAGCTCACTGGAAAAAGTGT